AAATGCTCTCATACTTTCTAACATGCAAAAAAAGAAAAAAAAAAAGAACTAGCTTAATACAATTATACTACCACTAATATGACAAACCAATAGTATTACTATAACATTGTTCAATAATTTAAAGGATAACGGCATTTTTTTCGTTCTTAAAGAACAAGACCACCGCGCTTCTGCTCCACGTCTTCGGAGTAGTGCCACTGAACGGAAAAGAGCCTCTGAAGGACTTCAAGTACCGGTTTTCCACCCGCTTTCAGAAGCTCCGCTGCAATTCCATCCTCGCCCGGGGCCTTGCCGTTTTTGAGGTGGTGGAGAGCCATTCTAATCTCGCTCAGACTGACGTCCGGGATATCATCGGAATAGTGTCGGATAAGACTTGCTCTGGATCGTTACTCACACTTGCGTGTGGCTCCAACGATTATGTGTACAGCTACCCATAGAACCTCTCAATCTCACTCAGAATCTCAGGTGTCCCGGAAACGATGTTGCCACACTCAGTCTTCAGCTTTGACAGTTGGCTCTTTATGGCAGACAATCTGTATGCTGTCAAATCTGTTAATGATTGCAGCCTCATCTCCCGTCTAACAGCCATGAGATTAAGAGTGTGATCGGAGAGTTTTTGTGTTCTTTTGCGGCGGGTCTTGCAGAACTTAGCTCTGACCGCATGGACAGTTTCCACGAGCTTGTCATTCATATCGTCCATTGCAATGCGATCCTGTAGGCACTGAAGGCGGTTGTGTAACTCGAGCTGAAAGGTTTCGGGATTCTGGATTAGAGCATGAGGGGGACGGAGCGTTGACTTCATTAGACGAGACCTCTCCAACTTAACGTTTAGGTTCAGTGTGCCTCTAACCATTCGGTGATCGCTGCCAGTTTTCACCCTTGCGATCACTGAGACATCACTGAACAGTTGGCGTCTGGTCGTCATAATGAAGTCAATCTCATTTTTTGTCGAACCGTCGGGGCTCGACCAGGTCCACTTCCTGTGGGGCCGCTTCTGGAAGATAGAGTTCATCATAAAGAGTCCCTCTTTGTCCATAAAGTCGGCCAGCTGCTGGCCCCTTCTGTACCGTTGCCCTACTCATTCCCTACCTTCAGTTCACCAATTTCTCTTGTGCCTGGTTTTGCGTTGAAGTCTCCCATCAACACCGTGTAGTGGATTTTGGAGGAATGTATGGCTCTGGAAATATCCTCATACATTTCCTCCACCTCCTCATCGGGATGTGCCGACGTTGGTGCGTAAACCTGTATGACCTTCAGCGAATACCGTTTGGTGATTCTGAGTATCAGGTACGCGACCCTCGTCGACACACTCCCAATCTTTACAACGTTGTTGACGAGAGACTTGTGGACGATAAATCCGACACCTCCTTGGGGCAAATGGTCGCCCTCCCGGTGGTAGAACAAGTTGCCGGACTCGAGGATTGCCGTGTCCTCCCCCTCTCTTCGGACCTCGGATAATCCAATAATATGCCAGCGCAACTTGTCTACCTCTTCTTCTAGCTCCAGTATCTTCTCGTCAGTCCTCAGGGTGCGTGCGTTATACGTTTCCAGGTCGAGTCGTCGTAGGTGGCAACCGAACCTCCACCGGAGATTGTTAGCACCCCTGCCCCGCCGTTACCATGGTCGCCACCGTAGCCAGGAATAGCGGGGCCGCCGAGGACTGGGGGCCGAATTTCTTTTTTAATTTACTTTGTTAGCGGGCGACATTCAAAAAGTAATCGGGAGCTCATTAAAAATGCGTGTGGTTGTTTGTGCGAGCATCCATTTTGTCGTCGTCTATTCATTTGTGCTGGAAACATTGAGGCAAGGTTTTTGTGTGACATTGGCTGGGTAGCGTTTATTTAGTTCTATTGTTTTTATTTTAATTGGTTTGCATTTTTAATTTATAAAAATCGCTAGGACACCATATTATATCCTCTTTAAGTATAATTCGATTAGGACTGCTGACTGAACAAAAACCCCACATTCGCTACCTTTTTTTCCTTCATTTATTACTTATAATTTTTTAACAACACATACTGGGTGTCCCAAAAATATCACGTCAGAGTGACATGGAAGATAGGTTAGCCTTAGGTCTTGCAGATAAAAAAAATGACCTTAGTAAAAGTATTTCAGTTTTTGAGATATCGTCAATTGTTTTCTTTTCTCAAAAATCTCTACTTTAAGTTAGTGTTTCTACCGTTGTCGTTAGAAATACCTTGAAAATTGTTGGTTTTTATATTTTTTTATTTTTCGAACAGTTGTTCCATGCGTTGAAAGTAAATTTCTCCCAAAATCTAGTGTAGTTTTTAATAAAATAAAATGATTTGTGTTACTTTTTAACCTTTGACAAAATTGAACTCCAACTTTGATGACCTACCGTGAAAAAAAAAATGTACTGACGTAAACTGGCAAATAATTTAAAAAACTGCTCCAATTACTGCAAATTCAAAAAAGGTATAACACTTATATCAACTATTTAAAAAAAATGTAAAAATTACTATTTTTATTATTAAGGGAAGCTGTACTTTGTTATTGAAAAAACGAATTCTTTTTTCAAAAGCAATGAAAAGGAATGTTGTTTAGTTATTGTGTTTAGCATCCCATCAACCAGTTCTCCGGTCATAAACTGAGCGAGATAGCTGTGAATAGAGGGAGAACAGTGCTATCTCAATCTCGCACAGGTAGCTTCGGACTTCGGTGGTTGATTTTGTTTTTGGTACGATATTTTCAGTTTTTTGTGATACTCGTGCGGTTTTGTGCTCCTTTCGTTATTTTTAATATTTTTGACTACTCGGCGTTTATTAATTGGACTTTGATTTGCTTACTACTCGGACTGTTGTTGAACTGATTGATTTTGTTGTGAAAGTACTAATAATGGAAAATCCACGAAGAGGCGCTGTTAGTCGCTTTACACATCGTGAGTACGCTGACATGTACTTGATTTACGGCGAAACCAGGAAAGTTTCTACTCGAGACATAGTCGTAGTCGTAGTAGTAAACGCAAGGTTGGCTGCAAGATTGTGCGCGGAACGGTATCCAGACCGTAGACATCCGACGTATGAGGTGATTGAACGATTGGATTCTGCCTATAGGGAGGGCAGAATACCTGGAACTCGAGGTTCTCAATCTAGGAGACAGCGAACAATCGAGGATGACGTCGTGCTGCAGGAACGCGAAGAGGATCCCTCGACTTCGGTTCGTATGATACAAAGCCGCACTGGAATACCGAAATCATCGGTTCATCGTATTTTAAAAAAAAGGTATCAATTTCACCCATACCACATTCAAAGAGTGCAAACTCTCCTTGAGGGTGATTATGTAAAACGAGTTCTGTTTTGCCGACGAATGCTGGAACTAAATAGGCAAGATCCCGACTTTTTTCATAAAGTTTTGTGGACTGATGAGTCTCAGTGCAGAAGGGACGGATATCTTAACCTGCACAATATTCATAGTTGGCAGTTAGAAAACCCGCATGAAATGCAGAGAAGACCGTTCACAATACATGTTTAAAATCAATTTATGGACAGGAATCTTCAATGGTTCAATATTAGGACCAGTAGAGCTACCTCCTACATTAAATGGTGAAACTATTTGGCATTTCTTCAACAACAATTGCCAACGCTCCTAGAGGATGTGCCACTACAAACACGGGCAACAATGTGGTACCAAAATGACGGTTGCCCAGCACATTACACTCGAGACGTTCGAGCCTATCTTGACAACAGGTTCCCAAGAAGGTGGATTGGGCGATTGGGGCCAATCTTATGGCTCCCGAGATCCCCTGACTTAAATCCCTTGTTTTTTTTTATTGGGGTTGTCTCAAAGATAAAGTGTACCTAAAACCAATTCACAACGAAAGGGAACTCCGTAACCGAATAAACATAGCGGCTCAAGAGATATCGCAAATAGGTTTAAGAAGTTTAAAAAATAATTTTATCAGAAGATGTAGATTATGTATTAGAACTAGAGGGAAACAATTCGAGCATCTGCTTTAATAATTACTTTAATGAAAAAATCCATTTTTTTTGGCAATATCCCATAGATAAGCCAATAAGTTCGGCTTTAGTGCTACCCTTAATGACAAAAATGGTAATTCCAACATTTTTTTAAACAATTGATGTAAGTGTTATACCTTTCCTGAATCCGCAGTAATTGGAGCAGTTTTGCAAATTATTTGCCAGTTTACGTCAGTAAATTTTTTTTTCACGGTGTGTCATTAAAGTTGGAATTCAATTTTTTCAAAGGTAAAAAAGTAATACAAATCATTTTTTTTATTAAAAAATACATTAGATTTTGGGACAAATTTATTTTCACCGCATGGAACAACTGTTCGAAAAATAAAAAAAAATATAAAAACCAACAACTTTCGAGGTATTTCTAACAACAACGGTAGGAACACTAACTTAAAGTAGAGATTTTTGAGAAAATAAAACAATTGACGATATCTCAAAAACTAAAATACTTTTACTAAGGTCATTTTTTTATCTGCAAGATCTAAGGCTAACCTATCTTCCATGTCACTCTGACGTGATATTTTTGGGACACCCTGTATATAAGTAGTGGCTGTACACACTACGAATACAATGCATCAGCTGCTATTACCTCATTTAAAACTAAATTTCAAATAAAAGAAAAAAAAGTTTATTCTTTTATTTGCAAATCTAAAATAATTGTAGTAATCGTCCAAATCGTCGCCGAAGAGCATTTCTTACATAATGTTCAAATGAGTATATTGACTTCGTTTTAAAATCCAGTTTTTCTCGCGTGCGATATCCATGAATTATAATGTAATAGCCCAATTTCAATACTTGCGATATTGCGATACTATTGACAATGTAACATGCCCCATCGAATTATTACATCTTAAACACATATTCATATGTATTTATTATGTAAACTGTTTTTTTAGTCAAATAGATATCTGCTTTTTTATTATGGAGATGATATAGATGTTTTTTATTAAAATGCGTTTCGATAAAAATGCGTTATTTAAAAAATCATCTACATTTATATTGCAGAACTTTGAGAGCATTGTAAACCCGGTTCTGAACAAGCCGAAGCCGAAGCCTAAGGAGAAAACTCCTCCTCCAGCAAATAATACAGCTGGAGATGCCCAGCCGGCTGCCAACCAAGATACGCAGTCGCAGGCTCAGCAGCAATCCCAGGAACAAATGGACGTCGAATAAATTCCGCCTTATTGACTCAACTTTCATGCCTCACCTAATCTAACTCGTATACATAAGACTAAATAATTAACTCGTGTTTTAAAAAATAATATATTGTTTTAGAACAAATCTTTGAATAATGTTAATAAGAAAAAACGTAAACAGAAACTATTCAATTATTGTTTCGAGTTTTTAAAAATTTTAGCTCAATAAAATTTTTATGTCTCTGCTTGATACAAGTCGTAACATTTTTTTGTAAACTAAGACCAGTCAATAGCTATAAAAAAGTTCTAGCTATTTTATTTAGTAAGTAATCCATTCTTGGTTTCAAAATAGATTTTTCAAACGATTTTTTATTTTTATTTATTTTATAGCAGAGAAGATATTAGATAATCATATATTCTATATACTAATTGCTTATTTTATACCTACAGGCAAATTAAAATTTAAAGCATAATAAATATTATTTACATCCCAATAAGAAAATAATCTCTCGCTTGCATACATTTTTATCGCTGCACACAATATGAGATTGTCGCTTTTATTAATACTAATTATCTGATGCAGAAGAGCAAACATTGTAAAATAACATTTTTGGAATAAAAATCTTGTTCTATAGTTTACCATAACTTTCACATGACAAATAATATCTTAATTATAATGATTACCATACTTAAAACGAATACAGCAATTCAAAAATATTAATTAAAGCTTATTATTAACAGACTTCAAAAAAGAGGAGGTTCTCAATTCGAGTGTATTTGTTTTGTATGTATTTGACTTGATATCTTCGTAGATTGCGAATCAATTTTGATGATTTTTTTATTAATTAGGTATAGTACTTCAAGGATGGTTCCAAATTTTTGAGTGAAAATTCCGCTCTTAAGAGTAGCAAATAAATAACTTCTTTTTTAGCAATTAGAAGTCGGTTTTTACTTTTTGTTAAAAGTAATAATTATTTAGTCTTATGTATCAATTGCACAGGATACTGGACCACATCTTAAATAATTACATTACAATTACAATATACATTAACAAACAGTTTACAATGATGTATTGACAGCTAGTTTGTTACATCTCATGTGGTAATCTGTTTGCTGTACTTATATTAAAATGTAATTTATTGGAAGGATAATATTATTATATTACACGTGTACATTGTACAATTTCTATAATTACAAAAAGCTAAAAGTAGATTTTTTATTTTCTTTTAATTGATTATATTTTGCGCATTTTAGACTGACGCTACATATTTTAGTTTAATTCTAATTGAGTATTAGTTAATTATTAGTTCCAAGAACATTGAAAATAATCATCATATAGAATATATAATTCTCTGATTAAGTTAATTAATAGTTTGATGCAGTCTATGAAAATTTTGTTGTGTTATGCAACATGCATGTAGGAAGAAATAAAATAAAATATGTAATATATTTGATGGTTTAAGGAGTGGTTTAAAAGTTTAACGAAATTTCTTATGCACTATAAAACTGTATCGTTGAATGTTTCTGTGGTGTGTGTCTCGGTTTAGTTTCGATATCAACCGTTAGTTCAAATGCTTAATCATAGGATAATTAAGAGATAACACGGCATTCCTAAACATAGTATGGCATAATATGCGATAGATGCAATTGATTCGCAGATGATCTAAGTGATGTTATTATTGGCGTTGCAATTTATCGATTGCTGATTTTTTGATTTTTCACCATGTGCTATTTGAATGAAATCAATAATAACCTATCGAATCTGAATTTGCTTGTACGCAAAATATTAGTTTGAGATTGTTAGTTTTTAATCAAGCTGATATTATACACAACTTCCCATACAGTTACAAATTTGTATTGTAAAATTTACTTGGCAAGCAAATCATTTGTGTTAACTTAACCTGCGTGAATATTAACCTTAACATGCGCTATATACAAGTAACAAATTAACGTTATGTGCTTAAATCACGTAGGCCTGTATCCGAAATTCGCCACTGAGCCTTTTTTTAAAGAGCATAGTTTGTTTTGTTACTGTAATTCCATAATTTACTTTATTATATTACTATTAGGTTTCTTTGGCCTACTTGTAAATTTAAAATAAATAAAATGGTTCACCCATATGAATGTTACTTGTGCATTTTTAATGTTAAAAAAGCTTAGTAAATGGATGATTAACAAAAACGAATTACTTGCTTTTCAATATCCTATCAGTTTTTGCTTAAAATATACAATGGAAGAACATAAGTCTTCTGTGAGTTGATTAAAACTACTTTTACGGATTTTATCGCGTTTATTTATGTTATTTTTAATACCCGACGTTTCGGGTGCTTTCCATCACCCATGGTCACGGGGGACTGAGATGACTGACGTCCCGATGTCATTTTTAAACCTGGAGTACCTTCAGCTTTTTTAATCAATTATTGTTTATGGTCCAACCTATGCAAAATGAACTGTGTCTTGAAGTCTTGCAGTGGTATGCTTGGGTTTAGTTTTAATTTTATTGATTATAGAGTCCCAAGCAGGTGGTAGTACCTAGCCTCCTTCTCTATTAAAATTAGGATGTTTTTTAATTTCAGTAGCCTCACGTATCATCAGAGGATTTGTGGTCTATCAAATCTGATGTGATGGTTGGGGCCGTCTAGGATATGATCACAAACTGCAGACTTCCCGGAACGTTGATGCTTCACATCAGTTATATGTTCATGTGTAGTGAACACCGATTCCTACCAAGGATGATACGTGAGGCTATTGAAATTAAAAAACATCCTAATTTCAATAGAGAGGGAGGCTAGGTACTACCACCTGCTTGGGACCCTATAATCAATAAAATTAAGACTAAGCCCAAGCATACCACTGCAAGACTTCAAGACACAGTCAGTTCATTTTGCGTAGATCGGACCATAAACAATAATTAATTAAAAAAGCTGAAGGTACTCCGGGTTTAACAATGCCATCGGGACGTCAGTCATCTCAGTCCCCCGTGACCATGGGTGCTGGAAAGCACCCGAAACATCGGGTATTAAAAATAACATAAATAAACGCGATAAAATCCGTAAAAGTAGTTTTAATCAATGTGTAGTGTTCGCGTAAATATAAGAAATCTTATTGAGTTGATTACCACATTGAAAAATTAAAAAAAGAAATCAAGAAGTTGCTGAAATGAAATACCTTAATTTGTCCGATGCTTTAACGGTTAAAAAACGCAGTTAAATATTGTAGTCTAGTAGCATTTCCAAATGAGGTTCCTCTGACGTTGAATTTTGGAATTAGTAGAAATTCCGCAGGTATCTTCTCAGTCATGCAAGACTTCCGTTGCGGGTTTGTCACACTCCAATAAAAAAATGTTGAGCGTCCGAATCAGTGTTGAATAGAACACTGTTTAAACTGAGTTTGTAAGAGTAGCTCCTTTTTTGTACTAAGCCAAGGCTTCAATAAGACTAGGTAGTCCAAAGAGTATAGTAACTTTCCTGACTAGTCGCAAATTACTACAAATATACTTGATACAATTTAAACCGGTACATGAGCTGGCTGTTAATAATAATTGATTCCATTATTTTATAGAACAAGGAGGTAAATGCGATAGGCCTATATTTGGACGGATCAGAGCGGTTACCTTTTTTAGGGATCGGGTGCACGAGGGCTGTATTCCATGATTTCGGGACTACGCCGAAGGAGTGGGAGTACCGGAAAAGACGCTTTAAAACCGGTGCCAACTCCGGAGCATACGACTTCAGCACTATAGTAGGGACGCCATCCGGCCCACTCGACTTGTTGACGTCCAGGGAGAGGAGTGCTCTGCGCACCGAGCGTTGGGTAAACGGAACATCCTGCATGAAGCACTCACTCCGCGGGATAGTCGGCGGTGTGTTCCTCCCGTCGTCAAGAGTCGAGTTGGACGCAAAGAGAGAGCCCAGCAGTTCGGTTTTGTCCTTTGCGGCATGGGCCAGTGAGTCGTCCTCCCTGTACAGAGATGGGAGAGATGGCTGATAGAAGTTCCTTTGCACATCCTAGGCGAGAGATCAGAATGCAACTGTTCCCGAAGGAAGACGAACTAGTTAAAAACTGTTGGTTAAGTAAAGGACAGTTAAGAACTATTGGTTAGGTAAAAGACAGAGACGCATATATAATCCGGTCGCAGTCATAACAAGAGCTGTCTTCGTTCATCATCATCATCATCTTTACAGCCCTTCACAAGTCCACTGCTGAACATAGGCCTCCCCCAAGGTGTGCCACAAAGCACGGTCCATCATGCATCGACTTCCTGCATGTCTTACCAGGTCTTCACTCCATCTAGTGGGGGGTCGCCCTACACTTCGCCTACCGGTACGAGGCTGCCACTCGAGAACCCTTCTTCCCCAACGGTTGTCGGTTCTTCGAGCTATATGGCCGACCCACACTTCCACTTCAGCTTACTAATCCGTTGGGCTATGTCGGTCACTCTGGTTCTACTGCGGATATCCTCATTTCTAAATTTATCACGCAGAGAAACTCCGAGCATAGTCCTCTCCATAGCTCGCTGAGCGACCTTGAGAGTCCTCATACGGCCAGCAGTGAAGGAACACGTCTCGGTTCCGTAGGTCATCACTGGCAACACGCACTGGTTGTACATCTTAGTTTTCAGGTTTTTAGGTATACCTGACGAGAAGATGTGTCGTAATTTCCCGAGCGCTGCCCAGCCGAGTTGAATCCGTCGATTAACCTCTCGGTCGAAGTTGGAATTACCTAGTCGGACTATTTGTCCCAGGTAAACGTACTCGTCAACAACTTCGAGCTTAGTGCTCCCAACAACTACCGGCATAGGTGTGGAATAGACATTAAACATGATCTTTGTTTTGTCCATGTTCATCTTAAGACCTATCCCTTGGGAGGCACCATTGAGGGCATTGAGCATAGTGCTTAAGTCCTCCAGCGATTTTGCCATAATGACTATATCGTCGGCAAATCGAAGGTGAGTGATGTCCTCGCCATTGATGTTAATACCGTATTCTTTCCAGTCCAGTAGCTTGAAAACGTCTTCCAATGCAGCGGAGAAGAGTT